GTCGGCGTGTGCCACTATTCACCACACCACATAATACAATACGAGCAGAAGATTACCAAGATCCAGCGTCACCGGCTCAGATCCCGGGTTTCCCTCCTCGGCACGCACCGCCTCGTTGCCATTCCTCCTGCCCCACTAATTGGGCTGCCGGTAACCAAGACGCCTGGTGTACTCCGCGTATCCCTTCCCGCCCTCGCCCCAGCACTCCTTCACCCTCTATGTCTGGGGCCCTAGTCCCCTCTCTCCACGTGCACGACCCATACACATCTCAGCAATCATGGAGGTCGACATTGCGCCCCAGTTTGGCGCCGAACTGAAGGTATGCGGAGTTGGAGCAGCACCTCCGAGCATGCGCTGACGGGTGATCACAGGATGGCTTCAAGACAGTCAACGCTTGGGTACGTCATACACACTCTCATACACTTCCGGGCGAGAACAGACATATGCGCCGCCAGCTACGTGCCTTGCGCTTCGAGTTACTGACACGCGACTGCAGGTCTCCGGCGGCATCTCCTGGCTGGATGACATCCAACAGTTCTACCGGGAACGGAGCGCTATCGAGAAGGAATACTCGGCAAAACTCAGCGCGCTTGCGAAGAAGTACTATGAGAAGAAGGCAAAGAAGCAGAGCAGCCTCAGTGTTGGTGACACGCCTACCGTTACTCCAGGCTCGCTCGAGAGGTATGACGGCCGTCGCATAAGGTTCGGGCGTTACTGACACATCCACATAGCGCTTCTATGACCACATGGGGTGTTCAATTAAGCACCCTCGAATCCCGCGCCTCCGAACACGAACAATTCGCTGGTGCTCTCATCACCCAGCTCGCTGACCCCCTCAAGGTCCTTGGTACCCGCACCGAGGAGCTGCGCAAGTTGCACGGAGACTATGCTGCTAAGCTAGAGAAGGAGCGCGACAACCAGTATGGCGAGTTGCGCAAGCAAAAGGGCAAATACGACAGCGTCTGCCAGGAGGTTGAGAGCCGGCGCAAGAAGGCGGACGGCGCGTTTGACCACGGAAAAGCCAAGGCGCGGAATGCTTTCGAACAGCAGCAGGTCGAGATGCGCAACGTCAAGGTACGTAGCATGCCAAATCTTACATCTCACACACTGACCACCGCAGAACACCTATCTCATCAGTATCAACGTTACCAACAAGCAAAAGGAGATGTACTACCACGAATACGTCCCTGAGCTACTAGACGTAAGTCAAGCCGCAACATCAGTGACGCATGGCTAACAGTCACAGAGCCTCCAGGATCTTTCGGAAACACGGGTTAACAAGCTGAATTCGATATGGTCACTCGCCGCTCAGATCGAAACCCAAACACTCACGCGAAGTACCGAGTATCTGAAGCATCTCTCTGCCGAGATCCCGCGAAACAACCCTCTTCTCGACTCGATGATGTTCGTACGGCACAACGCTGGCTCATTCCAGGAGCCTGGTGACTTCCAATTCGAGCCCAGCCCGGTTTGGCTAGACGACAGTAGTATCGCGGTTGACGATTCCGCGACGGTATTCCTGCGCAACGTTCTCACGAAATCGAAGACGTCATTGGGGGAGTACCGTCGCGAGCTCGAGAAGAAACGTAAGGAAGTTGAGAACGCCAAAACCGTGCGCCAGAACATAAGGGACGGAAAGGACAAGAGAGATGAAGTGGACATCGTTCGCGCTGTCTTCGCTATACAGGAACAAATGCATGAGGTGGAGAGACAAAAAGTCAGCGCCGAGGTAGAGGTTTCGACCATCACTTCAGTTGTCGGTGACTTGAGCATTGGCGCAAGAAACCACAACTTCAAGTCGCAGACATTCAAGATACCTACGAATTGCGATCTATGCGGAGATCGAATATGGGGACTGTCCGCGAAGGGGTATGATTGTCAAGACTGTGGCTATACGTGCCATAGCAAGTGTGAGATGAAGGTTCCCGCCGACTGTCCCGGTGAGCAGTCCAAGGTGGAGAAGAAGAAGTTGAAAGAAGAAAGGCAGAAGGCCGCGCACGCAGTGACAGCGACGAATGGCACCGCGACGAGCTCCAGTACAAATCTACCCCCACTGGGGAGAAGCGACACAGTAAACTCCATGAATACTCTCAGCTCTGGCTACTCGGCTACTGCGCATCGGTCAATATCTGGAGGCATGTCGCCTACTGCCGAGGAAACTCCACCACCACCAGAGAAGAAGGCGCCGACCGTACCGGGTGCTAGGAAAAACCGGCTAGTTGCTCCACCACCTACGCAATACGTCAAGAACGACGAGGACATGCCTCCGCCCACACCCAAGTCTGCAGAAACGAAGGGTAGAATGCTTTACGCCTATCAAGAGAATGGAGAGGGCGAATTGACTGTTGCAGATGGTACGGATGTTACCATTGTGGAACCCGATGGTATGTAGTTGACGCTTCTCACATCTCAGGTCTCTTTCGTCACTTCGCTAACATTCTGCCACAGATGGTTCTGGATGGATGAAAGTCCGTGCTGGCTTCAAAGAGGGTCTTGTTCCAGCAGCGTATGTCGAGATGACGGTCGCGACACCACCTACCACTGCTTCTACATTCTCATCAGCAAGACCTGACTCGACGTACTCTGCATCGTCGGCATCGACCACCAACTTTGCCGCGGCTGCCGCTCCCGGTAAGAAGAAGGGACCCGCCGTTGCGCCGAAGCGTGGCGCGAAGAAGTTGAAGTACGTCGAAGCATTGTATGACTACACTGCGCAAAGCGACGCAGAGCATTCCATGTCAGAAGGAGATCGCTTTGTTCTCATCAACATGGAGGCTGGTGACGGCTGGGCAGATGTCGAGAAAGACGGCGTAGTACGCAGTGTACCAGCCAACTATGTTCAGCAAGTCTAGATCACTTGTCTAGCAGCAGTTCGCGAGATGAGCTTCTTCTGATTGATTAGTTCGTTGTCTACAGCGTAGGAGTGTTGGAGAAGAGCTACCTGCATGAAGTATCGCTAAAGTATCTGTACATACCTGAAGGCATTATTCTTACCAAGTCTGTTTGTATGCATCTGTAACTTGTGCAGTTGTCGCAGTCACAAAACATGTCGGTCACGCTGTGGCACTACGAGCCCCTGCATCTCGGGACGAACATGTGGGCCCTGATTATTAGCGCAAAGCCTTTCCATCTCGTCACGTCGCTTCCTTCATCTTTCCCCCATCAACCTCACCATCACGTCTCGTCGCATGAGTCTCGCGTTCTACTAGAGGGTCCCATGATCATATTATACCTGATGTGGCCCGCTGCGCCAAACCCCGTAACACACGACAACAGGGCTGCATAGAACACAAGCTTCGGGTGACCAGCGCGCTGCTACGTCGCTTACAACATGGCTGCTGAGTCGTCCTATGAACCTAGAGTACTGACACTCACCGATAGTGACCAACTGCTGAATTCTGTCGAAAGAGAAGACAAAGCAGGTTACATATGCGCCGACACGCAGACATTGGGCTTTCACCTTGTTCACACACAGACGCCTTGATTCTCGAAGTCTCCCATTACACGGTCAAATTGCGCAAATCACCGTGATGATATACGTATTCTGTATACATTCTATGCGACAGTGACATCGGGGTAACGTCACCGCGCATACCAAGACCCCAGGACAAGCCAGCGCCTATTAACACGGAGCACCGCACTACTGTCAGAACTGGCTTGAGCCATTCTTAGTACAGTCCGACCATTTGACTATCTCTCGGCTTCCACGCACGTTCAGCTTCTTCTCCGCGTCACTCGTGTCTTCTCGCAGATTGCGGGCGCATCCGGCTCTTCCAAGTCTAACCAAAACTTCGATGTCGCACTGCATATTGACAGGAACTACCACTCTGAGCATGTACCAATGCCATGCGCAGATCAACATGCCCTCAGGAACCCGGTGCTTCTCAGTCAATCAGCGCTTTAGCACTGGAGACACCACGTATCTCCCATTTGCTCTCGGCGCCCTTTACGTCTGGACGCATGGCAAATTGGCAGCGAAGGCGCACTCTTGTCCCTTCGGTACACGTACGTATGTGGTACAGACTGATAGCCTGCTCAGATAATACCCAGCTACCTATGCCACGCAGCTCGTTCACTAGCCCGAAAGGTCATATGAGCAAGCCTCCTTTGAGAATGGTAATCTATCTTTTGATTGCCGTCTCCGCCGTTCATGCCATTGAATCGATTGCCATATTCACATTCACTCTTTTCAACGCTCTCCTCCACAGCTAAGATATCTAAGCGGTGTATGCACACTCTTCGCCATACCACACACTCTTTCCTGTCTCAGCGATCGATCCTCGTCTATTTGCCGAAGAGCTCCAGAACGCAGTAGGCGCATACCTAACTCATTGCTCCTTCTTGGCCAAACGGAGCAACCACGCTAGTGAGACCCTGTCTTGGCGCCACGATACAAACAATACTCACCTCACCTTCGCTCTTGTGTCTTCCCACTACGCTCGTTTCCTATAAGTCAGAACCGACTCAGTCGCCTTCACGCTTCACCGGTCATTCTTTCGTGTCTTCACCCGGAGTTTCGACTCCATTTCGCTCCTTAGGCACTGCCAGTATCCTTCTCCGCTACTTCCCCGCGTACTTCACAACAATAAAAGAGCCGACACAGTCGAAAGCAGTACCGCGACACCGATCGTTCTGTCAAGAACTTGGAGGAAGTAACTGATTAAAGGGAAGAAACGGTCAGTCGCTCTGCGTCACACTACTTACTGCCGCATTGGCTAACGTCCGAAGAAGTTATTAGCGACTTCCACAAAAGTGTTGCAAGCCCTAGCCTACCATGAAGATTGGCCACATAGTTACCGCCACAGCGCTTGCTGTGATCACTGCAGCTAAGCCGCACCACATGCACCGCCACGCTCATGCTCACGATCCGGTCAAGCGCGGTACCATGTTCACGCCTGCAGCAACCGAGACTCATATCGTATACTGGCTCGATGATCATTCAATCACGGAAGAAGAGGCCCGTAAGGGTATCGCTAACGGCACTCTGAAGTGGGGCAATGATGGTGTCCTTTCGACATCGACTAGTAGTCCTGTCGCACTGCCTACTCTGCCTCCAGCTGCCGATCCGACACCAGAACCCACTCCTAAGAAGGCTGCCGAACAACCCAAGCCTGTTGCGCCCGAACCTCAGAAGCCCGCGCCAACACCCGAAATGCCCCCAAACGACCCTACACCAAGTCCCTCCCAGGATACGACACCTGTTCAACAAACCGGCACTCCGCGTCCCTGGATAGACATGGTGGACAAGGATGGTCACTGTGCCGAGTGCGATAAAGAATTCCCGGACGGGAAGATACGTTGCACGGAGTTCCCTCACGGATATGGCGCCTTGCCTATCGCCCATGAGGGACTGGGAGGCTGGTCCGGTATCCAAGATCCCCAGTATTCCGGGGGGGATGGTTTCGATGACATCACAACCGTTCCGAAAGGTTTATGTTCGGACGGTACCTGCTGCACGTCTGGTAGCTTCTGTTCCTATGGCTGCCCGAACCCTTACCTCAAGGCTTCGTTCCCCTCGATTCAAGGTAGGACGGGCCAGAGTGTTGGTGGCCTGTACTGCAACGAAGATGGATTCCTGGAGATGGCCGACGGCAAGATTGCGAATACCCTTTGCGTTCAGGGCTCAAAACACATGGGCGTGAAAGTGCAGAACAAACTCTCAAAGTCTGTCTCTTTCTGCCGCACAGACTATCCCGGTATGGTATACACCCACGCTCCCAATGCACTTGCTCACATGTGGCAGGTACCGAGTCCATGACTTTTCCAATTACCGTCGGTCCTGGTGAGACCGGTTTCCTAGCAAACCCCGATCAACAGAAGTACTTCTTTTGGCAAGGCAAGAAAACTTCAGCTCAGTACTACGTCAACAAGCAGGGCGTGCCTGAAGACGAGGCTTGTACGTGGGGTACAGAGATGGGAGGCAAGGGCAATTGGGCGCCAGCGGTCTTTGGAACATCTTTCGATGACGGTCCAATGCAGGAAGGTTTTTCCAGCCTGAAACAAAACGAGCTATGCAAGAAGGAGCGACTTGGCTACGACATCACCTTCATTGGCGATGGCGTCGTGTCACCTTGCAGGTACAAGAGCGCCACGAACCAGTGGTGTCAAGCTGACAAGTGCTGGGAAGACCCAGATCGCGGCTGCACTGTACGTCGCTCTACTGTCTTTCCGCAAAGCCAGACAATCGCTGACTTGGATAGGCTGCTATTATGCATGGCGATCTCACTGTTGTACTATCGGATGGCTAACACACCCGGTCTTAGTGCGGCGTCAAACGCATGTACCCCACTGTCTTGTCACTTTCCTTGGTCTGTCTCTACTAGATCTTCGGCTCTCACGACACTGTTCTCACTATTTCCCACTTCCACGTCAGCCTATTTCAGCAGGCTCATGTATTCCTGGTCAATACTTTCACAATGTCGAAGGCCCGGCGGACTGCGGCAACGATCTCGACGGAGCTTTTGGAGGAGGTTTCGGATTTCTTGAACGGATTACCAATTACCTTTCTTCGGATATGTACACATTTTCTCTTCTGTTAGCAATAATATCGAGATCTTTATGGGCGGTGATCCACGTGCTGGTCGTGATGCATAGTCTTCTTGGACTCCTAGGTCGAGAAGGGCTCTTCGTTCGTTAAAGCCAATGGCCTGTTGACTTCAATGTGTGACGTTGATACTCTACACGATTGCAAGAGAAGTGACACACGCGAATCAAACAATATTCAGGCAGTAACTCATAAAGCGTAAACATCGATTCACTATGCTATCGTACGGCAACGAAGTCTCCATCAGCCCGATGCCGGGGTATCGTCTCAGTACACCAATCGGTGAAACAACAAAAAAAATGCAAAGTGCAATCCTCCGTGAGTCAAACTGCCAACTCTTGTGATGCTGCTAGAACACGATTTCTCCCTCCCATGACGATGCAATGATAAACGGTCCACCTGTCACACTGTTGACGGCGGCGAATGTGTAGAACATGGAGGTGAATTAGACTGAATGGAGACGTAACGCATAGCGGGCGTGAGGGCGGGCTAATCGATGTGCCGAAGGATAGCGGGTTGTGATAGGCTGCGTTGCCATACCTACCATCCGTAGCGCACCTTGACGCATACAAGCTGATGATGTTGATGCACATCAGTACACCGTGTCTATAGTTCCGCGCAAGTGCTCGTCGCTGTAATGCTAGGTAAGACAATCGAAAGATTTATATGAAGAGCGGTAGACGGTCAGAGAGCTGCGTCACTCAATTCAAAGGAGCGCCAGATGCCCAACTGCCTCAACTCGGGTCCGGATTGAAGCTGAGAAAGTCCGCCGGGTCATTCATGTTGAGGGCCAGACTCGGGTCAAAACCGAGAAAAGAGCCATTCTCTGCCGTCGTCGTCGGTGTTGGGTCCTCCAGAGGTTCACCGGTATGACCGCCGTGTGTAAGACAACCGACGCATGCGCAGCCATCTCCGCATTGACAGGTACCAGAGGCGTCTGAACAGCTTGGTAGGGTCATCTCGTTCCAGAAGTAGGATGATGGCGAAAGTGTTACAGTGTCTTCGTCTTTGATGTCGCTTGGGCTGCTGGCTGCGGGCGATCCTATAGTATCTGTGGACTTTTGCAACGTGTCGCTTGGCGCTGACATGGTCGGTGTGTAACCAAGGCTGCTGGGGAATTGGGCTTGCGGCTGGCTTGGCACGGGGTTCAGTTGCTGTGGCCAGTCCCTGGGCAACACCATTGGTACCTGAGGCATGGTCGCCATGTCCATGCTCTGTTGAAAACTCATCTGCGTTGGTGTGGGTGTTGCTAAGCTTTGTTGCATTGGACCGAAGTTCAGGTTGTGACCGGCCTCCGCTCCGTAGCCAGATTGATGAGGGTAGGTAGGCATGTCGTACAGTGGTGGAGGCATCCCTCCGAAGCCGCCGTTGTACTGAAAGTGTGCCATGATCCTAACATATTCCATCATTGTAGCGTTGTTGGGATGCGCTGCGCATCCAAAACAGCTACATGACTCTCCGCAGTGGCAGTTGTGTTCGGGAACGTGCTGACCGATGTGAGGACTTGCAACAGACGGTGACATGGGAGGGTTCGCTGACGGGCTCATCGATACGGAGTTTTGGCGATGATAGGCTGCCGCTGCATGGTTGTAGATTGGAGTGCCGAGACCGAAGGGGTTCGGTGCAGGCGATGGTATTTGCGCATGGAAGTTCTGGTACTGTGGGATCACCGCTTGAGCTGGAAATTGGAATTGATGTCCCATATGTTGATAAGCGTGTGACTGATCGTTGACGGGTGCATCTTCCTGCTTCGTTGAACAGCAAGACTTCTTCTGTGCTGGCGGCTCTGGAGCTGGTTTTGCTTTGGCTTTGCTGCCACAGCAGCCTCCTTGTGCTGGCGCTGGTGCTGGCTTGGCTTTGCTACCACAACAACCTCCTTCTTGAACTGGCGACAGAACCGGCTTTGGCTTGCAGCAACTGGAGACGGGCTCGTTTTGCGCAGGGAGTAAACGTGGGGTTGAGCTTGCACTCGAAGGGAGTGACGCTGCGTTGCTACCACTTGTTTCCGAGGGTGTATACGTGATGGAAGAGGCATCAGTCTTGGCGTCAAAGCCAGCCTGAATGGCTTTCTCGAGGTTGTACGGGGTGACGGCTGCAGACTTACGCCTGCCTTTTTGGATTCGACTGTTTCCTGCAACGGTAGCTGTGGGTGCAGCTCGTTCCGAAGGGCAAGCACATTCAGACGCTTTGGGAATTGTGTAGTTGATGACGACACGTTCGCAACTGCATGAGCCAGTCGGATGTGGACAGCTACTCAAAGGTCGACCCGGCTTTCGAACCTCGACAAGCACCCGATCTCTGTGGTCGCATTTCGACGAGCGATGGCCGCGGATGCACGGACCGCTATTGAAAGTCAGTTAAAGTGCACGGCGAATGAGCAGCCTGCGCAATGCGATGCAAGCCGCAGTCGCTAAAGAATTTCTCGGGTACCTGCTGTATGTGCGTAACAAATAGCGAAGACAAGAGGGTAGGACAATGCAGAACGAGGAGCAAGACGAATAAGCGGGAGTACCTACCAGGCGACCTTCTTGCGCTCTCCATTGACTTCGGCCCACATGATGCGGGGCTGATATGAGGTCGAAATAACTTGCTCAATCCGCGGCAGGTTACCACCAAATGCGCCGTGTATCGGGGACGAAGTAAGACTGCTGATGGGAACAGCTTTTGTCCAAGCTTACTGTATACCGCGCACGTGAAAGTCTTGCGGAGGGGTGAGGTGGCGTACGGCACGGAAGACAATGCAGTGGCAAGAGTCTAGGCTAAACGTACGACTCTCGTTGGTAGAGAAAGTGGCCGACAGGCTTCAATGTGGTGCGATGTAACTATCCGAAAGAGAAGGTAGACTCGGTACTGGGCTTGGCTAAGTGATCTGTGAAGGGTCCAGCTCCGAGCGCCTGGAGCGTTGATAACCCTGAGCGCTGCCACCGGCTTCCCACAGTGTCGGTGATAATACTGTATAAGCACAGGCGTTGGTTGATGCAGTAGCGATCTTGAGCGCGGAACGGATGAATGGTGGATCGTATGCAGGCGGGCGCACGTCGGAAATGCACACGGCAACAGCGGCAGGGTCCTCAGTTGAGAGCCGGCGGAATCAGGGCGCCGGTTGTACTGGATTCCTCCCAGGATGCGGTCTGGAGAAATATTGCCTTGACAGGGCCCAGCGTTGGTGGGGACGTGAGATACCAGTTCAAAACCGCAGAAAGAACACCGCCGTCACCTCTCCCCACTAGACGGATGAATGACTCGGGTCTCCAGGTGTCAAGGCGTGGGATCTGCTGGTCGGCGCTCGAAGGTTTGTCGTGAATTGAATGGATGCGACGTTTGGCGGAGGGTTGGATTAGGCTTAGTGCCTTAGCGTTGAGCAAGTTTCTTACTAAGCGGTCTTAGTCGCTTCAGGGCGGCACAAGCAGAAGGTGCAATGATGGAGAAATAGATGCCAGGCGATGTCTCAGCGGTAAAGCAAGTGGAGGAAGTGGTGAGATAAAGTACCTGCAAGACGGGAGTTATGGAAACGTGACCTACGGAGAGCAGCACCTGTGCCTGCTCAGATCATGGTCAGAAGAACCGTGGAAACGATGCTGCGGCCGCCGGGTATATCACTGGAGCGTGGGGAATCTGGCGCCGAGCGGACCCTGGCGCCCTCAGATGAGTACCGCGATAATTCAATCGGTGTGGGCGCGATTGGTAGGCCGTGGTATACTTGAGGCGTCGCTTGAAGCCACCTGGATCACGTCCCACGCCATCGGGCTGGTGCAACGCTCGCTGCCACAGCCAACGAGCGAGCGGCAGACCCTGCGGCCGTTTGCAGCGCATCCTGCCTGGTCAGCCTTCAGACCCCGTTGATGACGGCGATCCGCTGTTTCGAAGATTGCGTCTGTCTGGAACGCAGCTGAGATAGGAAAGGTGGTGGCTGGTGATCTAGGCACGTGCCACTTGTGGCTCCGCTCCTCGAACACCCAAAATACAATCTTCGCCAAGACCATTGTTTCGTCACAACTTTCCTTCCATCATGTCCTCAGAAGCCGACGAGGAGGGCCTGGACCTGTTCCAAGAGCCTACCGACTTCTATGAACCAGAAAAGCAGGCCACATTCGCGTCTCATCAGCTGCTTTCCGGCAAAGAGCTCACTGTTCGTTTGGTCGGTCACAACCCTTTGTGGGTAAGTCATGCGCTTGATCACCGACATCCCGAAGCAATGTATGGAACTTGTCAACGCCACCAGTATTGGCTTCCGTTCTTCTAGAAGACTTCTGGAAGGCCCGTGGAATTTCGGAAATGCTTCGATACCTTCACTGACTTCTGACGTACTTGAGCTGCGCTTGGCACGTTCACTGACGTATTCAGGGGCACTTTCTATGGAATGCAGGGCGCACTATATCTGAATATCTAGAGGAGAATGCAAAAGAGCTGGTTGAAAACCGGACGGTTCTCGAGCTTGGCGCCGGAGCAGGACTTCCAAGCCTTGTCTGTGCTCTCAACGGTGCCGCTCAAACGGTCGTCACGGACTATCCCGATGCTGAGTTGGTCGAAAACCTGCAATACAATGTCGACCATTGCGAACTACTTTCTAAGCCACCCAAGATTGTGGCGGAGGTTTGTGACTGTGCTCAACCTTGGCAAACATCACTAATGTATGTACAGGGGTATCTCTGGGGTGCGCCTACCGGTGACTTGACGAAATATCTGGCTGATGGTTCGGGCTTTGATGTCCTCATCTTGGCCGACCTTCTATTTAACCACTCGGAACACGCCAAACTCATCAAGACTGTCCAGCTGACCCTCAAGAAATCGCCGAACTCCCGAGCCTACGTCTTCTTTACACCATACCGCCCGTGGTTGTACGAGAAAGACTTGGCTTTCTTTGATCTGGCCAAGGATGCGGGCTTTACCGTCGCTAAGACGTTCGAGAAGGTCATGGATAAGGTCATGTTCGAGGAAGATCCTGGTGTGAGTTTTGCGGATCGCTTTATTTGCAGACGTCACTGACCGAACTTAGGATGAACTTCTTCGCCGGACTGTCTTCGGCTACGAGCTGACTTGGAACGCATGAGGCTTGTTCTCGGAGTAACAACGAGTAAAGCACGATGTTTCCCGCAGGCCAAATCAATGGTACTCGTCCGCCATATGTGAGTACCAGTCCTGGAGCAACAGAACTTTGGTACGCAACTGCTCAGTTTTGTTTTGAGAGCCACAAAGCTTTCAGCAGTTGTGTGAGCAGCAATTTTGCCATCGTGTCTCACGCCATAGCCTTCCCCAAGCAACATCCATAAATGCGACTACAGCAAGTCGAGTTTGTTTTTGGAGACGTTCGGCAAAACATGCATAGGATTGACTTTGCGGGCTTTCAGCCATCTAGCGGTACACGTATAGTATGCATAATGCCTTTCCAGCCTCTACCTCGCATACCTTGTTCGCTAATTCTAACACATCCCCTTTCTACGCGACGTTATGTACGTACTCCGTCAAAGTCTCACATCGTGCATTGCGGGAGCGTGAGGAGGGCTCTATTGCACAATACGTTGCGACTTCTTCTATCGTATGATTGTACTGATAGACTCACAAGGCACGTATAACAGATTCACTTCTCGCTGGGTATGCTGCAATATGCCAACACACCGCGCGAAACACTGTTCACTCCGTTCCACATATGCCTAGGCGGAGTTCCTCAGTATGGGACACAGCAACACTTCACTACCTAGAGGTTCATCGCGATCAGCGTTCTAGCTTCACCACCCCTTCCCACCTCTGCTCAACTAACCCCATGGTCGTGTCAACGCTCGAGTCCCGAGTGGCATCTCTGAGCCTGGGCGGCTGTGTCGGGTGGCAAAGTCAGGCTGATCTAGTATTTCCAGTGTCCCCCACTGCCTCTTCCCCATCTCCTGACCCATCTCGCTTAGATGATACATCATACCAAGGTGCAAGCGATGCAGTGGGATTGAAAGGTAGCGTCAAAGAATACACGCTACCCCCACTCCCAACTCGTGTGGAGCAAATGATGAGGGTCTTGCCTGTCAAAGGACAGCGTCCTCTCCTGCAACACATCTCACGCCATCCGATGACCCTAGCTGATGTCGAGGCTTTGGTCCCTGCACTCATCGGTAGACATAAGATTATGGACCAGTTGGTCGTGAACATTGGCTACTTCAACGCTAGAGGCTTGATACCGTCTTCTGACCTCGAGCACATGCTTATCCACATCCTCGCTGTAGGTGACGAACAGCATTACCTATACGAAACAACACAAGCCCGGATTGAACTAGAACGCCTCCGCTATCAACACTACGAGCGCATACAGCGCCAAAACCGGATAAAAAACATAAAAGGTTTCAAGAAGACGGGAAGAATTAGGAGCGATGTTCAGCATTGTGAGTCTATTGGCGACTTTTCTCGTTCCAGGCTGCACAGTGGACCGGGCCTAACGGATCGGAAATATCCCAGGGTCCGGCTCCCGCAAAATGACACGCGACAGGTGAGCGTGATACCCAATCTGTCATTTTCGAAATTGAACACGGAGGTCGAGCACGATGATGTGTGGAAGAGAACTGGATCGACTCCTGACGTCTTGTGTGGGAGGAAGGGGAGGAGCGACAAGATTGTCGCGAAGCTACCATCCAAAGAGCGTTCATCTCAAGCCCAAGTTCCGCCTACGCGCCGAAGACAAAGAAAGCGGTCTAGGATACCTTGAAGCATTCGAAATAGCAAGATTTGTGAAAGTTGACCTCAGTGATGAGCGATGCATGCCTGTGAGGTTGAATTGTTTGCGGGGGCTAGCGCCGTTGACCGATAGAGCTTATCCATTGCCGAGGTTCCTTGAGGCTTCACGACTCCTCGACTGCCGACCACGATGACGCGCTACAAACCACCATGATAGCCTCATAGCGATGCCTGCCATCTCTATCAACATCTATCTATCATGACCTCCTCAAAGCCACCGAAAGCCATCCTGTTCGACATCGGCGGAGTTGTTGTACGTGCCTCCTTTACACTGCCCTGCCATTCATTACTATGCGCGACGGGACCACGTTAGTTAACGCCTACCATTGCAGGTCATCAGCCCTTTCCAAGCCATTCTCGACTACGAAATCGAGAACAAAATCCCGAATGGCTACATAAACTTCGCGATCCAGAAAGGCCCTCATGACACCGGCGCATGGCAGCTCATCGAACGGGGCGAAGTCGAACTCAATGACGATTGGTTCGCGGCCTTCAAGAAGCAGCTTATGCGACCGGAAGTATGGTCACAATATCTCCAGAAGCTGGCGCAGCAAGAGAGTGTCGGTGGTGGACAAGCCATTGAGGGCGGGAAGCCACAGGTGCCGGACATCGACGCGAAGAAGCTGTTCTGGCGCATGATGAAGATCAGCCGAGCTCCGGATCCATACATGTACCCCGCGCTACGAAAGCTAGGCGAAAGCGGAAAGTTTGTCCTGGGCGCGTTCAGCAACAACGTTACCTTTCCCACGGGCATTCTCGACGACGAAGGCAAGCTCTTCACCAAAGAGCTCATCCACGAACCGGCGCCCAACCCTTACGCGAACGACTCCACAGATATCACGACGTGCTTTGACATCTTCCTTGGCTCGGCGGCGGTTGGTGTCAGAAAACCGGATCCGGAGGCATACAAGCTGGCGGTACGGGAGATGGACAAGATCGCGAGGAAGAAGGGCATGGGGAGTGTGACGGAAGGTGACACTCTCTTCTTGGACGACATCGGCATAAATCTGAAGTTTGCGAAGAAGACGGGACTAAGGACAATCAAGGTGAATCTGGGCAAGACGAAGGATGCTGTGAAAGAGCTCGAAGAGGCTGTCGGCATACCATTGTTGGACGAGAAAGCTAAGCTATGAATGTTGACATGAGTTCCACCTGCTTCAGAGGTCACAGGCCTCCTTAGCCTCAAGATCCGCCATTCTCTTATGCGCTGCACTCTCCACCAATCTAATGACAGCCAACAGTGCAGACTGACGACTCAGTCCTTCCTGAGGCGCAATGAGGAACTTCTTTTCTGGGGTAACTGACTTAGTGTTCCAGCCAATGACGCACGCGCGGAACTTTTCAACACCCTCTCCTCTGCTTTCGTATCTGCCCATTAGGAGCAGTGGTTCTAGCGTCGGGCGGTACGTGGAGGTGATTAATTCTGTGATGATGTCAGTGCGGTGTCAAGGTATGGTGAAGAGCGGTGTTGTACTGCTGAGATAGCTGAGGTGATTCTCATCGGTGTCTAAGAGGGGCGTAGCAGGAACGCTGGGAGGTGCTGGTACGTGGGGGCGACTCTCGTTGCTCGATTCGTGTGCCATGGTACTCATGATGACGACGGTTTGCGGAGCTTTATTGGATAGCTGCCCCTCAAGGCTATGTATCGGTCGGGCTGCTTGCTCTCTGGCATCGCAATCATCTTCAAGAAGCTTTTGTCATAGCAAAGCAAGCCTTATATTTTGTTGCTGCTGACAATTATAGCAATCGGAAAGGCAGTCAACAAGTTTAAAAGACGCACGAGGTTCCTTCCTAGCACAAGAGACGACTGACACACCTGTTCTCTTCTACTGCCTCTCGCTCCAGACATGACCATCCTCCCAGTATCGCAGGCAGACGTCAATACTCTCACATACATCAACCTCCTGGTTAAAGGCATCTTTCCGTTCCCCCACCCGTCCGCCGCTGTGAAATTAGGCTGTCTGAAGAACGAGCTAGGAATTGTCAAATATCGTGCGAGGGTCATTTCTTGTTATCACCATCAGTTTGACACCTCCAGCGGAAAACCCGTGGAGCTGATGACGGATCTCATCGAGGTGCAGGTAGCAGATTCGCGGAGTGAGGTGCTGTTGAAATTGCTAGAGGCAGTGGAAGATTATGCTGGACAATGGACGTTGTTCCCGGAAGTATCCGACGAGAGAGAGAGCGAAGAAGACTACGCTGAGGAACAACGACCGGGAGAGCCCGAGGAGAATGAAGACGAGTAGGACTTTAGGAAGATAATGCAGAAGATGTCCTGGGGAGCCCGAGAAGGGGAGTATGATTTGTTGGAATCACAACAGATCACGCAGCAGTGGGGGTTTCGAGGAAAATAATGAAACGAGGGATCTGGACATGATGGTAACCGTAACAAATGGTAGTCCACAAAAAGGGCGGTAATGGGAGAACTTATCGCGTATGCAGCCGCTCTTCTAATCTGGAGGATTGATCCATGCAACGTAGAAACACAAGCCAGCAAGATACCCCATTTGCATTACTCAGTCAAGCAGTCTCGCATACTCCAAGCACCCTTGTGACCACAAGCCTAACTAATCCCCCGGAAAGCACCTTTACACCTTATGCAAGGAAAAACGTCAAAACACTCTAAGGCCTACATTGACGTTTGGCCACCTACTTCGCATCTTTCTATCCTAATTTAGGCCACAAACCGACTTATGGTCTTTACTTTATGAGGTGCTCACCCCCTCTCACCCCTCCCCACACTCCCACTCCCAACACTCCCACCCCCATCCCTCGCCGCCTTCTTCTTCTGATAATTATCATCATTCAGCATCATCCTCCCAATCTCCATCTCCTCAACTCCCAACAAATGTTCCAGAGCTTCTTTCCTGCTCCCACCCATTTCAGGTCCCAGTTCGAGGCTTCTGACTCCGCCTTGTTCGATGCTGTAGAGGGAGGCGCAGAAGGCGAGAGAAGGATCGACGGCTTTTGGTTTGGAGGCGGAGTTTGCGGAGGCTTTGGGTGGGGGGTGGCGGCCGAGGATGCAGGAGGGGGGTTTGAGGGGGGAGAGGATCCGTGATTGTGCTGAGGTGGGAGGTAAGTATGTGGAAGAGATGGAATTGGGAGGGCTTGGGGTACTTACTTTCGATAAGGTCGATGAGATATCTAATCTCCGTTTCGTCTTCACCTCGCAAGTTTGGAAGGGGCTCGCGAGGTCGACCGAGGCGCTCGGGCATGCTTGCCGCCAATGAATCCATCTGTGTCTTGAGTTTTACTACTTCGATATCGAGACAAATGGCAAATAGAGACGGTCTATTATGGCGAGAAACCGGTGAAGAAGCCGCGTCATCGACCAGGATCAGTGGTGTACCGGTGTGTTTGTCTAGTTGTACAGTGAGGCGGGAGGATGAACAGGTGGGTGAGATCACTTGGAGAAGCAAACTTTGTGGAACCATCGAAGCGATTCGATACATTTGCATGCGCTCATTCTACCATGTTCACATGTTTATAGATGTGTAGACATGCGTAGGTTAGATCACAGAACTGATTGCTGGGCGTCTAATTGTATGAGCAAATCACAGGCGTGGTCAGTGGAGGTCTACGAGTGATACTGAGATTTACTTGGCATGTGTTACACCTACGTCGAGCGACTATTGTGTTCTGAAGAAGGTCATCTCTCTACTGCCGATCACTGACATCTTTCATGCACCACTTCTCCTTCGTTTCGGTGGAGGCGGGCCTGCTCTTTTCCCCTTGACCTGAGCACCAGCTTGATTTCTGTCTTCTTCAATATCCCTGAGAGCACCACCTCTCGGCCCATCTACTCCGTCATTGCTCTCTTTAGACATTGCGTCTCGAGCAGCTCGCTCTGCGGCTTCCTTAGCCTCCGTCAATTCAAAGATCTTTTCCCAGAACTCTACTGCAGGTGTTTCCATATTCAGACTTTTCGTAGCCATCAACCTCTCCAAGGTGCGCAACAGCCCCAGTAATGCTTCTTCCCTTGTCGATCCCCCATGCAAGCCAAGTTCTAATACTGGTGAATGATCTGTAATTGAGCTAGTAACAACAGTACTCAGGTATCCATTGAGATTGGAATCGGTGGAGTCTTGATAGAGTAGGACGGATGCCTTGAATTCGTCGCCGAAAAGACTATCGGCTAGCATCTTCACATGGCTAAGAGTACGGTGGTCGGCCTCGGTCACGGGCTTGGCTCTGGCTGTGGAGTTTACGCTCATGATTAATAGGTATTTCGGTAAGCTGAGAAATCAAGCCGAAGTATGCTCTCTACACAAGCGAATAAGTGCGACAGTTTGCTCGCCATGGTAGCAGACACAAACGCATCAAACAGTCTCTAATGTTCCACCGGTGTGGAAGCATTCAACTGCTAGACACCCTTTTGCGTCATGGAAGAACACCCCAGAAGGATAAGGATCAAAAGCACGGCCCATTCAACGCCTGCTGCTCTATCATAGCGCGTTGGTGTTGCGTTACACGAACGCCCAACAAGGAGTACTCCACCCTTGTGGCGCATGCGCAAACGCTCAATCTCTTTTCTCCAGTTACTTCTCGGATTTTCGCCGACTCTCTTCCATGATCTGGCTGCTGCCTTTTCCGATTTCGTTGACACGATGACGCCGGTGGCACTTCTTGTAGCCGCTGTCTCACTGGTTGCGCTCATAATCCAGTATCTCTATCACCGACGACAATGCCTCGTAGGTCCAATCTATCACCTACACACTCCCAAATTACTAAATTTGCAAAGTCAGATCAAGCGATTAGCGACCGCCACGGATGTCTTCCAGCCCCCAGACTGAAGAACCAGAGGCCATTTGGTATCGATCGACTTGAGCAGATCTTCCGCGCAGACTCTGAATCGCGATTGATGGAGCTCTTCCTGTTCCATTTTCGGCAAACGGGAAAGACACTAGAGCACAAGTTCTTGGGAGTGAAGGCGTATGGAACGGTCGAGCCGGCTAATTTGGAGGCTATCTTGTCTACCAGTTTCAAAGGTACGGAATGAAGAAGATGAGGTGGTGGGTGTTTTAGAACGCTGACTTACAGGTAGATTTTGGTCTTGGGCCTCGTCGAGCTATCCTGTTTCCGGCGTTTGGTGACGGTATTTTCACGCAGGAAGGCGCTGACTGGAAACACTCCCGGGATATGCTGCGACCGCAATTGCAGCACAAGCATTATGAGAGCCTTGAGATATTCCAAGAAGCGACCAATGATCTCATCCGGTTGGTTCGAGAACGCGACGGGATCGTTGATCTGCAGCCGCTCTTCTTCCGCTTGACTCTCGATACCACGACAGCGTTTTTGTTTGGCGAGTCAACTCGCAGTCTCGCAAACCCGGAGGTTGTTGGTGAGCGGACGTTTGCGGATGCCTTCAACACCGCCCAACAATGGGCCGTTATCAGGTATCGACTCCAGGACCTGTACTGGATGATTGACGGTAGAGGGTTCAGGAAAGCTTGCCGAGATGTTCGCAAGTTTGCCGACAAGATTATCGATCGCAATATTTTGTCGAACCGATGTGAGACAGATGATGAGGGTAAACATGTCTTTCTGGATGCTGTTGCGCAGCATGCGTCGAATCGAGCTGCATTGAGAGGTCAGATCATCAGTCTGTTAGTCGCTGGGAGGGACACCACAGCCTGCCTTCTTTCCTGGACATTGTGAGTTGCGCTTTCCGGTGTTGGGATTCGCGTCTAATGTGAATAGCTTTCTACTCGTACGTCATCCGAACGTGATGAAGAAGCTGCGCGAGGAAATCCTCTCGACCTATGGCGCTGATGCGGAACTTAGCCGCGATAGCTTAAGACGATTGCCGTACCTGCAAAACGTACTCAAAGAAGGTACGTCTCAACCCTGAGTTTTTCTCTCGAATGAGCTTCTCACCCTCAGATCAGTCCTGCGACTATACCCATCTGTACCTGTCAACATCCGTATGGCTACAAGAACCACGGTACTTCCCACAGGAGGCGGTCCGGATCGCACTTCCCCAGTCCTCATACCCAAAGGGAGCGTGGTAGCTTTCAGTGTGTATGCCATGCACCGCCGACCGGACCTTTACGGGATGGATGCAGAGCTGTTTCGGCCAGAGAGGTGGGATGAAGAGATGCCTTTGCAGCAAGATCCGACGAACGCCAAGTGGGGATATCTTCCTTTCCATGGTGGACCGCGGACCTGTCTGGGCAGTGAGTACCTGCGTGGGTTACGCTTTTCGTCATTAAGCTAATCTGAAATTCTAGTGGACTTCGCGCTAACGGAAGCTGGGTACGTGATTGTGCGACTTCTTCAGAGCTTCGCGGATATCAGACTTCCCAAAGGAGAAGCTGCCGAGCTGGTAGGAGTGGAGAAGCAGGTCATGACATTAGTCATATCGATCAAAGACGGCTGTAAAGTTAAGATCGGTTAGTAGTAGGGCACAACTTTGGTAGGGTTTCTGGTGATGAGATGTGATGGAGATGTCCACCTGGGCAGGTGCACATGTACTTTCAATCTGATTAGCGCGCGGCGCTAGTGAGGACCCTGACTTCTCGACCAGCAGGTACCAGGGACCACATCTACCAAACATGCCATCCATTGCTTAACCATGCCTCTACGTTTTCCTATCTACCAAGGCTTCTGTGGAATAAACTCTACCCCAATTTCTCTGGCGATATCTTCCATCGTCAAAGCTTCTCCTGCAGCTGAGACCAGCCCTGTTCCGCTCTCCGCTCTCCTCCTAGCTTCTTCATACGCTGCTTCGCAACTCACCAAGTTCTTCCTCTTCCGTTCGTTTTCTTCCACATAATCTCTTTCCTTGTCGCTTATGATCACGTCGAGTCTCCAGGACGCGATTTCCTCAAGCCTCTTCCGCACGGCTTCTAGAACACCAATCCGAGTTTTGGCTGTTTCGACCTGCGAGAGTAGTCGTCTCTTGACACTACCTGAAGACTCTATTTTTGACTCGACTACAGCGGCACGATACCGGTAAGAATCCCTTTCAGTGCTCAAGCCGTGGGAAACGTACAATTTGCCATTTGGATAGACGGCGTCGAGAAGCTTGGTTACGACGTAGAAGGTCTGGAACTCGAGGTCTGTGATGCTACTGGACATCGGTGCTGGTCCCGGGTTGTTAGATAGCGTAAGTGTTGGAATGTCAGCATGCGTGTGCGTGAAGTTTATAAGTAGAAGGCAGGTATAAGTTTGTCTACCAGAACAGTGATCAAACTTAGCATCACCCAGCCAACTTAATCCCAGTCTCATGATAGCCGCACAGGTACTTGCAGCAGAACAACATGTCACATATGTAACACACTACGAAGTCTGCACATCACCCTGACCGCCCCTTGTCCCTTCCTTCAACTCTCTATCCTCTCGCTTCGCTCTTGCCTTCACCCGAACTGGTGAAGAGTCCTCACTTGACTTGCGTTTACCAGACTTTTCCGCGTCCCCCTTCCGTAGAGACTGGTCGGTGTCTAACCGGGGCTTTTTATCTGGACCTCTTCCACCCGGCGCCTTGCCTTTCCTCTTCCCCCCCTCGTCTTCCTCTTCACTGGATGGTTCCATGGCATCAAGTTCAGCATCAAGTTCAGCATCTCTAGCCCGCCGCTCTGCCTCGATCTGCTCAAAGTTATCGTGCACGTAGTCCTCCAGATCTCCCAAAAGTGTCTAGTGCATCGACGCGTTTCTTCGCATTACCGCTAGCCATGATGATGTCCTTCATCACCTTGCCTTCATACCTCGCCACCCCGGCGTGGTAGCTTATAACCTTGCCGGTTAGGTTCTTTTCACGGGCGACATACAATCTGTGCCCCGGGAACACTTGGCGGATGAGTTTGGCGATGAAGTAGAAAGTGTTGTACTCTGCGGCTGTGATAGGCATGTGTGCTGATTTTGATTTCGTGAGATCTTTGTCGACTATTGAGAAAGGGTGGGCGTGTGAGTGCAAAGTGATTGGCATGCGAGTGCGCAGATATATATAAGTACAACAGAACACGTTTGTTTACCTAGTCAGCTACTAGAATCCGCGAGACTGTACCTAGAGCGTAGTATTAAGAGAAACCAAAAGCCATAGATAAGAATATCTTCATTCCTCAAATGACTAGACGTAAACTCCATTCCTATGCAACAAACGCCATGCTATGCAACACTGAAATGTACATATCAACATAACCAACATGCCTTCGTATCCGTTATATTCGCCATATCTTCACGTTCCCCAATCATCCCATTCGCCGTTTTTCCGCGGCCGTTCCCGACTTGTGCTTTTCTTCGCTTTTGGTGCTGGGTCTAAGAACCCATCTGGTATATCATTCCAGTTTTGCGTCCCTTTCGGGGGTGCGGATACGGTCTGCGCTTTTCGTGCTTTTCGTTGGTCTACCGCTTGCTCGTCGCTGGAGACTTCGTAATCGTCGTCTTCGTCTTCGGATATGTAATTGTATTGGTCGAACTTCCTCCTGTCGATATTTTGGAGCGGTACGTCCCCGTCTGCGTACATGCCGCGTTCTCGTCCTAGTATTTGGTCGGCTTTGTTCGGACTTCTTCGTCCGTCGATGGGGCCTTTGGCGATGCCGTTCGAGGGGGTGAGGTATTGGGTCGGCTCGCCTTGACGAGTAGGTGCTGGCCACTCTGGTCGTCTTGTGGCTCGCGGTGCAGGCTGGTTGTATTGGCCGGGCATCCACCCATCCGGTCCGCGGGTGGGACGTCTGAATTCTGCCTCAGTAGGAGTATCAACACCCCAGCCGGCAGCGCGCTCACGCTGCTTTTGTATTTGCTCTTCCCTTTCTCTTTCACGCTTTATCCGTTCCCGAGCTGCCAGCCACTTCGGACTGGGCTCCCACGACCATCCGTCTCCAGTTGTTGTTACCAGTGGCACGAACCACTTCAACGGCGAAGGCCCGAAGACATGCCCAATGTTGCGTTTCCAGCCCAAATCAAATGCGTTCGGTAGCATCTCGTTGTCGCGCTCGTCGAGGTAGCTGTCGTAGCGGTCTTGGTTCTGCTGGCGTTCTCGGTATTCGTAGGATTGATAGTGTGGGTGGGAGTAGCCGTTCGCGTGGCCTGGGACGGGAGAACGCGATGCGGATCGCGAAGGCTGCTCACCCTCTTCGGGTCTGGTCACTCCTGGGAGAGCGTTCGCATGGATCTCGCGTAATTGGTCGCCAACGCTCAATCGCCCGTTTGCTTGCGCCTCGACATAGTTCCGGTCGTTGAGCTGGTGCTTCATCGTGCTTCGGAGTGGTGAGAGGTAGCGCGTCTTCTCCAAGCTCTCGATCGTGGTCTGACCCCTGACTGTAAGCCACAGATGCCATGCAGTGAAGCCTGTAATGACAATCCCGATAATGCCAGACAGCACGGCGAGCAAGACGTAGTTGACAGGCATGAACGACTCCGTGTATTGTCCGTCACTCAGGATCTCGCTCCAGACCCAGGTCGCAGATGTCGCGAAACACACCCAGCAGAAGAAGGAGAGATATGTCAGGAACAGGACGAAGGCTTTGTAGTTGCGCAAGCCAACGCAAGTCGCGAGCCACGGGCAGTGGTGGTCCATCTTCAAGACGCAGCGCTTGCATGTGGAGCAGTGGTGGGAGCGGTCGGGCTTCTTGGACTGGCACTTGTTGCAGAAGCGCAGTTCACCGGTCGATGCCTTGACTGTGAAGGACGTGTACTGCATCTCTCCTCCTTCTTGCGACGGCAGGTGGCTGTAGCCATTCTTGATATTGAGCGGCGATCCGGGGTCGGTGAATACGGCGGTCGTGTAGCTCCAGTTGAGCATGAGATAGAGGAAGACGCCGAGGGCAGACGAGAACTTTCCTATGCGACGTGTCAGTAGTCGCGTCCAGGTATTTGTTCAAAGTGGTCTCATTGGACATGGACAGATATGCATTGGATGTATTGTACAGAGGGAGACGCACCCGTCCAGACATTCTTCGAGGGGACAAAGCCGATGCCAGCCTGCACCCACACGGCCCACGACGTCAGGCCGTAGACGAAGAGCAGCGGGAAGTAGGTGACGGCGGTGCAGCAGTAGCGCTCCACCTTCCTGGCCCAGCCGCGGCGGCGCATGGTTCGCGAGGGGGAAGTCGGGGGAGAGGGCGAGCCCAGCGTGGCCATGTCTATGGGCTGGCTGAGTGGGCGGGCATGTGGTGCGGTGGGTTGCGAGGGGGTGTTTGTGCCTGGGGTCACCCCGTGGACGGCGCAGATCGAGGACGGGCGGCCTGGAGAAGGGGAGGCTGCGGAGGACAAGCAGCCGGCGCACGACTAGTTTCAGGGTGCAGCGGCGCACAGCATGACACAAACTAGCAAGCAGCGGACTTGGGGGTTGGAATAGGTAATGTAGTGCTGCAGAAACAAGTCGCGCAGGGTCACGGGGTGTCGTCGTTCAATTCGTCGTCTACTCGTGTCTAGTCGTAGTCATCAATGGTCGTCGTAGTCAATGTTGTAAGCGTCGGCGTCGTAATCGGTGGTTGAGTGAGGCGCATGATAGCGTGTCCCGGAGTACGCAGCGGCGCGCCTTGCTCACATCGACTCGGCACGCCGACCACGTGACGCCGTTGTTGGGACCGCCAACGCGGACACGGTACGTATGCATGTCATAAAACAAAAAGTCAGCCGCAAGGCCCAAGCACGTCCGGACAGGTGGCAGGTCAGACGCGCCTTTCAATCTTGGATGACTTCCACTTTTGGAGGCGCCTGGGTGCTGTCGCCCGTTTCAACTGCGCCGTCGCACACTCAGCCTGCGACGGCCGCGTCCTCTACAAGCTATATCCACCCGGGCGAGCGTAAAATAACGGCAATCCCGGGTGCATGCGCGATAATCTAAGGTAGCCTGATACAGTGGTTACAAGACGCAATGTCGGTGCCACACCCCGGCATGCTCCCGTATTGCTCCCGCCGCAACCTGCGACATTTAGACATGGCCCTCGCCCAGCGCGATCTGCTTCGGTCCTGCCACACAACGTCCTAATGCCTACTTTGTTCTTGCGATAGCGTGCCCCCACCTCCTCGACTTCGCGGACATGTCTAGCAACTCTCCTTCAACAGCAACAACTTTTGGCCCATTACCTTAGCTAGACATGCTTGCCTCCAGGAAGCGGCCCACGCCGCTGCTGCTGCTCTTCGTCCTCGTCCTCATCGGAATATGGTACCACAGCAGAGACACTGACCGCATATACCTGCAATGGATGTCCTCGATTGAGTCGCGCCCTGCAAAGATACCCTCCAACAAAACCCTAGGCTTCGGCGCCGTCGTAGTCGTGTCCAAGGATGGCTCCTCGCGCCGCAAGCCGCTGCTCCAAGCTGCCAATGTCACCGACATCGACCTTACCATCCCGACCCAGCCAGAATGGACTGAGGGCGACGTCCAGCGCTTCATCAACGGTCAGGAAAAGGCGCAGAAGGGATCGATACTAGCGTGGTTAGGGCACCACAACGCGCTGCGCTGGTAAGTTATATCGACGCCGGCATGCCACCCGTCTTGGCATGCATACAGCCACATCGAGCAGCTGCTGATTCGCTATGATTTAGGTTCCTAGATTCAGGCCTCGAGACGGCTCTCATTCTCGAAGACGACGTCGATTGGGACATCCGCCTGCGCAGCGTCCAGATACCCCTTGCGGCAAGCGCTGCCCGCCAGCTCCTTCCTCCACCACGCGCTCAACACCCGGGCGTCAACGCCGCCAGCAACCACACACAATACTGGGGCGACCAAGATGCCTGGGATCTGCTCTATCTCGGTCATTGCGGTGACTACTTTGATATTGTCACCGAGGACGGCCCAAAGACCGACCGCCAGTCCTTCAACCTGAGCGCTATGCCACACATCCTATGGCAAGACCCTACGCTTCCATCGTGGATTAACCTACACCCATTTACACAAGACCTATTCCGCCTTTTGGGCATGCCCGAGAAAACGCGCGTCATGCACCGAGCCAAGTTCCCTCTATGCTCCTTCGGATACGCCGTCACACGCCGCGCCGCCGAACGTCTCCTCAACGATCTCGCTCCGCCGAAACTGAAGAAGTCAGGCGCCCGCGCATTCGACGTCGCCCTTCTTCACGCCTGCAACAAGGGAGAGAACACGCCATCTCCCACACCGGAGTGGCAGAAAGCCAACCCTCGAAGTCGAAGCAAATACCCGAGCCCAGGACTACGGTGCTGGACACTGAACTCTGAGCTATTCCATCACATGCCTGGTAAAAGCGAGATTGATTCAATTGGAGAGAAACTTGGCGAGGAACACAGCCTGCCGCCAGTGGACCTGGCAGCCCAAGCGCAGGTCGTATACCGAAACGAGACCACAAACATCGACTGCGGATTCTGGAACGGAGCCTTCGCATTCGACGAGGACGATACCGAACGGCTGCATTTCCTGCAAGAAAAAGTCGGGAGGCAAGGCAACTGCCTTAAAGAAGGCAAAGACCGAGACGAGATCACATACCCGCCTCAAAAAGCGATGACGTGAGAATCCCTTAGCACAACATTGCATGTCACCTTCCATGTACATATTAGATTTCACGACGAGCACATCTTAACAGGATACCCGGCGTTATAGACACCACGGGATTTACGGGCGTTTAGCAGGAGCATCAACTAGGATTTCATCGGCGACATGAAGCCTCAGGACAAGGCGCAACATGATCTTTCTGGATTTTCTTCTCTACACTTCTTAGGGCACTATACCATAGCGGCGATTTCATCTACCAAGGCGTATGTATGCGAGGGCATGGTTTGGAGACCGCCTTTTTGTCACAGTTTACGATAGCAACTATCGACGTTACTTTGAGCGCTTCATGAAACAAAGTTACATTGTCTTTTCTCATGCTTCTTTGCCTAGTGACGTACACATATGCACCCCTCAGAACTCCAATACATCGACCACAAAAAGTATCACCGCTCATTCGGTACACGGCAGCACAACACCACTGATCGCAATACTAATCTTCTCCACTTCCAACATGTGGGGCCGTACTCAACCACCGCGCAATCACCGACGTCACAGCGAAACCACAAGGTCTCACCACCAGCACGATAAGTGATCATCGCCAAACTCCCCGAAAACCAGGAAAACTTTTCCCCATCATTCACCTCTTCTTCACCGTAAAGTAAGCACGGCAAATCCCACATCACCCACCCATCTCCAACACGTTGAGTTGCTCAGTCCACGTCGGCGTACCTGTCGATCATGTCCAGCTCGTTTCGGACAGTAGACAAAGCAAGCCTTATCCTAGTACGGAAGTGACATGTAGATCCTTGCCCGCGTTTTGGGACAGCGAATGTGTAGGTGTGTCTGGGCGTGAAACAAGCTTTATTAGGGCCGATGGCCACGTGTGAGTGATAGGGGAGGGAGATTTGAGGGGAGTTTGTTCACGCGTGAACGCGTTGAGGTCGGAGGGGGCGTGAGGCTTGGGCGTTGAGGGTACGAGAGAGGATGAAGAGGGTGTTGATGTTGATGCTGCGGATGGTTGGCGAGCGATGGCTAGGAGAGAGGTCGCGTTTGTGTGGGGTCCCGGGTTCGGTTTCGTTGGAGTTTGGATGCCTTGCTGGGCGTGATGACTCGGTTCCCTGGTTGCATGCGGTTCCTTGCGTTTACTCTCCATCGGTGGAGTCTGTCGCAGTTCTTGTATTCCCGTCATCTTTCCTCCAGGTACTCGATCTCGGCCTCTTCACTTGGGAAATCTAACTCATCGCGCAGCATCGTTTCCACGGTGCTATTCCAGCAATCGCAGTTTTCTTGTCGAGTTTGGATTTCTCCACTCGTCGAGGAAATCTCGTATGGAATGGAATCCTTCTGCTCGCGCCCTCCGTAGTGCGCGCTCGGCATTGTTATTAAACTGTGCCAGCATATTTGCTCCATCCTTACCGCGCCACTTATTGTGATGCTTACTGCCAAGCAAAAACCGTCTTCCGTTTACGAGAATGGTACTTGGGAGTTCACCCTCACTGCCGGAGACGGCAGCGATGGCTGCACGCATGTACTCATTTGACCACTCTGGATATGAGCGTTGTGCTGAGTCTGGGATTGAGTGTGACGCCGGGGACGGCGTGCCTGCAAGTCGTAGTGGCATGGTGGTATTACTTGGGCCGTATGTGCTAGACTCTGCGGCCATTGGCGACGAGACTTGATAGCCCTCTGATAGTTGCAGGTTTGGGCCCACAACATCACCAGTCGTAGGAGGTTCTTCGTCGAGTCCTTGACTATGTTCTAGTCCTTCACTCGGATTGGGTTGGTCGTTATTTCCAATCGGCAGTGGTGTAGAAATGACGATGTCTCTGCGAGTTTGGGGCTGGTGTGCAGGACGAAATTCTGTTTGTCCTCTCAGCGAAGCGCGGCAACCGAGGGCGCTGTGTACTTACGAGATTCTAACCGATCAATCGTCGTCTGACGTCTCCTGTATTTCGCCTTTGCTAATCTTTTCTCTGAGATCGCGATCTTACGAACTGTGACGTTGGCGACGCCCTCATGCTTTTCCAAGCACTTGAAGATATGATCATATTCATGCCCTTTCACGTATTTTCGAACACCCCATAGAGCCAGAGATCTTTCATATTGTGACTTGCTTTGTATGGATCAGCAAGGTACATCTTTATGTACGTGCGTATGGCCTTACTCACCTTCTCTTGAAGCCGCCCCTGGTCATGAGACGTATCACCTCAGGTAGCGACTTGCCTTCATCAACGTATAGCTTATCAATGGCAGGTCTTTGCCTCTCCCATTCGGCCACTTCTTTAGCAGATCTTTTGGTCATTTTCCGTCAGATTGATCAACGTGCAACAGTTGTTACACGCTGAAGAATGGGATTGCGAGATGTCTCGTCGTAATGGGTGGAGCTGTGGTTTGCGCAGACAGTGAAAGACACATGCCAAACCAGAGGCTAGGTGGAGAGATGTCAGAGGCGTCGTGTCGCTGCGCTTTTGAGACGCATCTAGTAGTGTGACATCAAGGCGGGTATTAAGATCAGATCTCGAGATCCTCGCAAGGTAGACAGCGCAAAGGCGTTTGCGAAAGGAAGCAAGGCGGCCGGTGTAGGCCTTGATTAGCCACTTCCGAAATCGTTGATCAACCAAGGCCTTATACCGCAACCCAGCTGCAAGGGCTGCACATCTGCAGTTCCTAGTTCCTGGTGATTGGAGCATGCCACAATCTCTGATGACGCCTAACGGCCAGGCTGCTGGTCTTACACAGCCCCGACCGGGTCGGCTAGATTACGACGTCGCCAAGCGACTCGATGCCGTCGATCTGATAGGCCAGTTCCGAAATCTCCCATGCAGGAATTGCAGTGCCTCGACCCCGTATTTACCAGGGTTTTTGCGCCTTCGCAGAAATGATTCGTCGCTACCAGAATCTCTGTTGATCCCGCGAATATGGTAGGCCCATCCCAAAATCTTGCTGCAACGCAAGCGACGATGTGCGGATCGTTGAGACATCAAGAGAGACGTGCAAATCAGCGCCCAAGTGGATGTCTTCGAGCTTCTCGTGAACGTCTGTGTCAACATGGAATTTGGGATGGATTGGCCGTTGCCAGAACCGTCGTTGAAGAAAGCAGATAGTACATAGTATATATGAAGTCCTCGCTCGTTGCCATACTCATGATCAAGCTGCTGCTGCAGTAAAGCATTCATCGACAGCGAGCGGTTTATCGTTTCGATATCCAAATACCGATCCTGGAAATCATGGCACTCGACACCCAGAGCGTTGTTGCTATTATCGCCCTCTTTGTCGCATGCCCGCCAACTCTTTGGGTTCTCTACAAACTTGACGTACGACGCCGAAGTCGACCGAACCGCGGTAGGTACATGTCCGCTCTTACGATACCCATCAGTACCCTAATGTCGTGTAGGGATGAGCACTCTCCTTCCAACGCACACGCCCTCTCGAGATGTACAGATAGAGAGACAGGACATCTTGCTTCAGCACCAGCGTTCGCACACGTGGTCGCCACATACGACCATTATGCTCGAAGACATGGCGTCTGCATACCATCATGAGTCGAGAGGTAGATTGACAAACCTCCGGGTGCCCAAACACAAGACTGACAGTACGTAGATAGGAGTTTCTAGTCCAGCTCGAAGCATCTCGAAGAGAGTCAAGCATTCGCTTCCTGTCTCCAAGCTACGACCCGAGATGCGAACGAACGGGGTTATCAGAAGCGAATGCAGATCGTCAACACAGCAGAGGTCGCGGAGGTCGTCGAGGTTGTCGAGGTCGCGGATGGCGTGGCGATCGTGGAGGTCAGTTTGTACGTAGAAAACTCAAGGAGTGCGCGCTATCTGCGTTCGAAGATGAGTCGAAAGGTCGTGCGATACAGTAAGGCAGATATGGGTGACAAACACCCGTAGTCTTCCAATATCTAGGCTGCACGGTGCACGCGCGTATCGTACTCTCTCTGTGTCTCGCTCAGGTACATTCCAAAGTTCTTTCCAGGCGTGACCTTGACCACACTCAGGACTCAGCGGGCCGCCGTCTAACAACGGACGGCTTGAGAACCCTCTGATACCGCGCTAGATCAAAACACCCATCTTCAAGCTCCTTACTGTCCGGATCACCAGCCCAACAGAATGTGCGACACTTCTCAAGCACTGTTTTGTCGTCATCCAAAGTCGCCTCGCACCAAGTCCAGATGTAAGCATTGGTCTCGTACTCCTGCAAACGCTTGAAGTGGTCTTCCTTCTCTACTTTCCACACCACGCCTGACACTTTCTCATCACCATCACCAAGTACGAGCGCTGGATATATACTCCACATTTTGACTTTGAAGCCGGAAATCGTTGCAGGCCGTGTGACAGGGAGTTCTGGGAGGCTCAGGACCGCTTGTAGGACTTCCGGGTCCATGAGTGAGCCATACAGGAACATGTAGCATGGACTAAAGGGTTGGTCAGGTGGTAATAGGGCATTCGTAGTGCGATCATGCTTTGATTGAGATGGTGGCGCAGATACTTTCAGGTTCATGGCCTTTGAGGCGGGCTTTGGGGCAGGTGGAAGAGGAGGTGGGGTTGGAGCAGGCATGGTAGCAGTATCTATAGCACTGTCGCGTTCGTGAGAATCCAAATTATCGTCACAGAAAGATGAGTTACGGGCTGTGTGGCATTCAGCGCGTCGAAGAAGGCTGCAGCCTACGATGTAGCGTCCAGCGTGCACAGCCTCGGGCATCGTCGGCCCCCGGGCCTGTGCCGGGCCCAGCTGCCCCCGCGGCGCAACAACAATAGAACGCTATCGCTTCCTCTGAACAACAATCCTCACTCCCTGCGTCCCCGGCTTCGCGCGCGGAACAAAGCTATCAAGGTACAGGTCAACAGCATCGCGCCCAGTCTCAAACAGCGCGCACTCAAACCGGCGAAAGAAACTCGCAATGCCAATGTACAAATCCGCGTATGCAAGCTGCATGCCCACACAGCTTCTTGTTCCACGTCCAAACGCAATCAGGTATTTTGTTAGCGCCTTTCCATCTGGCGCCTTTGCATCGTTTGCCCAACGCTCCGGTATGAACGCGAAAGGGTCGGGGAAAATACTTGGATCATGAGAGGCGGTGTAATGGTCCATGCTCACGATAGTGCCCACAGGGAGCTGGTAGTCTACTTCGGGGGTGTGGTAGACCATGGGTGTTGGTGAGAGGCGAGGGATGCGCTGAGGAGTGCCGTAGCCGAATCGCAGGGCTTCGTTGACCACGCCAGTCAAGTACGGCAACTGCATCAATGCGTCAAGGTGCGGGATGTGGTTTGGATCTGGAATCGCTGCGTCGAGTTCAGCGCACAACTTGGCCAGCGTCACAGGATTGGCGAGTAGGTGGTACGAGCATGTCGACAGCGTGTACATTGTTGTTTCGATGCCCGCGCCGATGACGGAGATGGCTTCGTGCTGCAGGCGTTTGGTGGAGAGTTCGCTAGGCGGGAGATCGGACTCGAGGAGAGCTGTGAAAAGAGATGGGATGGCCATCGTCTTCTCTCCAGAGGCGTGTACGGCTTTGGCGTGCTGGATTTGCGTCTCCATTTCTTTGTTGAAGGTCAAGACGGAGCGCATTGGAGGCGAGAGCAGCACGACGAGCCAGTCTGGGAGCAGCTTCAGGGATCTGATCATCCATGGGAATTGCGTGATGAAGTGAACAGGGTCGAGGAGATCAACCCTGGAGCGTGTTAGTCATCCTGCTTGTGTGATTTGACTCAAGGTGGCATACATGGCGTCAGAGAATTGGGCGCGAAAGTCTGGGTTCAGGATGAAGTCATACGGCTTCTCGAGACAGTATCCGACGACGATATCCGAGGTGAAGGCGCCCCACATATTATTCAGGTTCATCGTCTTCCCGTTGGGGACGAATTCGGAATCGATGCGATTGCAGAGACGATCCATATGACTCTGGACGTGAGGCGAGTACTGAGTAATCTTACGTTTAGAGAAGAAGGGGTTGAGCGCGCTACGACGCAGACGATGAAGACTGTGCTCAGCAGTAGCAAATGAGGACATCTCATTGTTGAAGCGGTGCTCGAGATGCTTGAGCTTGTCCGAGTGGCGAGAGTGCGCATACAGGGTATCGTAGAAGGTGGGATCTTGGATGTGTACTTCGTTTGGACTAACACGCACGATAGGCCCTGCAACGAAGCGGTGAGCAAAAAGTATTTGCTTCCTAGACCATGTAGACATACCGTATTTCTCATGCCATTTCTGGTATTCCCACATGAATTGACCACCAGGCGCCTTGAAGCACTCATAGTACGTTTCGACCCATTGCGTCAACGCAGCAAGCCTAGGACCTGGAACGCTCCGCAGAGGGTGGAAGTAGAGACGATAGATGGAGACGTAAAGTACGTATAGCGTGAGGAACACGCTAGACACAAGTCCGATCCGCCCGTAGGTCGAGGACACAAGGTTGTGGAAGAGTTGATTCATGACAGGATTCTGAGGTTCTCAACCGCAGCCCGTTTGCGTAGACATATTGTATCAAAGCTTTCGAGCTGTACGAACGTGTACCTGAAGCTGCAGAGTGCTGACTTGAAGCATGCCTGGCAGATTCACTGCGTTTGGTGGTTGCTGAGTAGGTGAAGATGACCACGCAAAGTCATTGCAGTCGGATCATCATGAGACGAGCACGAACACAAGAATGTAATACACGGACCGCAATCTTACAGGATGCTGACCTTGCATTAGTGTGATGGGTCGCGGGTGACGGCGCTACAGCCAATTAGGAGCCATCAAAATAATCATAAATGTAAACATCAAGCTGTGCCACGCTCGTGCACGCTGCTTAGAAATGACAGCTCGGTGCCTTCCTGCTAGACAAGGCTGCAGGTGACCGTGCAGTGTCACGTGGCTGCTCAACTCAGGGAGTAACAGCCATGGAGCTGAACCATGATATTGGCCGGCTCGCGCTATAACCGACTGCATCTAACTGCAACCTACATACCATTCTCACCATACCCGCTGCACCTCCGACAACATGCCTGGAAAGACGTATCTCATCACGGGAGCTAACCGCGGTACGTGCCTTTGACCTACTTGGGACTGCTAAACTGATTTGACTGGATATGCAGGCATCGGCCGCGGTATGTTCGACCATTATGTCGCACAGCCAAACAACACCCTCATCGCTGCCGTGCGCGATCCTGCCGGTGCTCAAGCCCTGCTCAGTGTTTCCAAAGGCGAGAACACCAAAGTCCTCATCGTCAAGATTGACTCGGCGTCCAAGACAGACCCATACGAGGCCGTGAAGGGCATCGACAAGATCGACGTCGTCATCTCAGCTGCTGGTATTGCGCCGCTCAACACGGTCGCCGATGTGCCACTCGAGGAGTTCGAAAACGCCCTCCAGGTCAATGCCATCTCTGTCATGATACTGTACAAGGCGACCCTGCCCTTGCTCAAGAAGTCAGACTCGGCCCGCTTCGCCTTCATCAGCGCTGCTGGCGGCAGTATCAACAACATGCCTGAGTTTCCCTACCCCAATATCAGCTATACCGGCTCCAAGGCGCTCGCCAACGTCATGGTCCGCAAGATGGGTATGGAAAACGCGTGGCTGATAACGCTGTGCATTCATCCTGGGTAAGATATCCCCAAGCTTGTTGTGTGATGCCGAAGTTGACATGTCGTGTGAATAGCCTCGTCCAAACAGACATGGGCAACATGGGCGCACGCGCTTTCGGTCTGGAGAAGGCACCGCTCACTCTCGAGGACAGCAGCAAGAACACTGCGCACATTGTGAGTTTGATAACTTCTTTACAACGGTGTCTGTCGTTAACGGGGCTCTAGGTCGACAATGCCACCAAGAAGGAGCATTCTGAGCAATTCTTCAACGAGACCATTGACCGCCGCTACCCTTGGTGAGACGGGATATTTGATGGTGGAGGGAGGATCATGTCTGGACGATATGAGAATGGGCATATCAGACTGTGCGATGTGGAATTGGACTTGCAGATTGCAGATCAGTATTGTAGTTGGCATATCGAGATAAATCATTTGCACCTGACGCGCTGTGAGGAAAGTTGCAGACACCGGTTAGTTTGAGGTTCTTTAACACGTTGCGATCGTGAAAGCTTGCTGTGAAACAACTCTGAGGTTGAGGTTGGAGACGTGTACGACAAAGAGTCCAAGTAGTCGGGGAAGAAGTACGAATGCAACGAGTGGTGTTGAGGTTGTCATCGTGAGACGCAAGGCGAGCGGGGCCGAAGTGTTGGAGTTCTTGGCATAGGCCGCCTCTGATGCGACACTAGGTTCACTTAGGCTGAAGATCAGGAGCTTGATTCATGACGTCACGTGTCGAGTGTGAGCCTCGGCTTCTCTGTCTTTCGCGCTCGAGCCCAAGGGGTCTTTTCGCGAGGGTACTTTGATTTTGTACATTGGGGGGGAGATATTCGGTAACGGTGGTTTGAGCCTCGGCTTCAATGCAACACAACCATAGTTCTCGATTTATCGCACGAAGATACACCTGAGATTCGTTGAATGATAAAGCTATATTGTCCTCTCTCTCCCAGCATCGCACTATGACAACCAACCTCCTCCGATATGCCCTCTACTTCGCCACGTTCGCTACCTGAATCTTCACGACAATCTTCTCCGCCAAACTCAACAAGCTCGGCGCACTGGTGACTTCCAGAGTCGTCAAGTCGGCGCCAAGCTGAACGCGACACCAGTTCCTGAACTCAACAGCTGCAAGCGAGTCCAATCCATATGCCGACAATGGCTTTGCGGGCTCAAGAGGCTCGTCGACGCGCAGCGTCAACATGAATTGCTTGTTCGCAACATCGACAGCCAGCGGCAACGCAACATGCATCTCAGCACCAGTCTTCACAGTCATCAAGAGCGCCTGGATTTCCTTGTTCGCCCCAGACGCCTCAGAGGTGCTGCTTCCGGC